TGAAATTAAAATTAAAATTGAAATTGAAATTGAAATTGAAATTGAAATTGAAATTGAAATTAAAATTGAAATTGAAATTGAAATTGAAATTGAAATTGAAATTAAAAGTAAAATTGAAATTCAATCGGGGATAGCCGCGGCAGGATGGACAGCATCAGCCGCTCCTGATTAATTAATTAATTACAATAATTAAAATTGAAATTGAAATTGAAATTGAAATTGAAATTGAAATTAAAATTAAAATTGAAATTGAAATTGAAATTGAAATTGGAATTGAAATTCAATCGGGGATAGCCGCGGCAGGATGGACAGCATCAGCCGCTCCTGATTAATTAAAATTAATTACATTAATTAAAATTGAAATTGAAATTGAAATTGAAATTGAAATTGAAATTGAAATTGAAATTGAAATCGAAATTGAAATGGAAATTGAAATTGAAATTGAAATTGAAATTAAAATTGAAATTGAAATTAAAATTGAAATTGAAATTGAAATGGAAATTGAAATTGAAATTGAAATTGAAATTCAATCGGGGATAGCCGCGGCAGGATGGACAGCATCAGCCGCTCCTGGTTAATTAATTAATTAAATTATAATTAAAATTAAAATCGAAATTGAAATTGAAATTGAAATTGAAATTGAAATTGAAATCGAAATTGAAATTAAAATTGAAATTGAAATTGAAATTGAAATTGAAATTGAAATTGAAATTGAAATTCAATCGGGGATAGCCGCGGCAGGATGGACAGCATCAGCCGCTCCTGATTAATTAATTAATTACATTAATTAAAATTGAAATTGAAATTAAAATTGAAATTGAAATTGAAATTAACATTGAAATTAAAATCGAAATTGAAATTGAAATTGAAATTAAAAGTAAAATTGAAATTCAATCGGGGATAGCCGCGGCAGGATGGACAGCATCAGCCGCTCCTGGTTAATTAGTTAATTAATTAAAATTAAAATTGAAATCGAAATTAAAATTGAAATTGAAATTGAAATTGAAATTGAAATTGAAATTGAAATTGAAATTAAAATTAAAATTAAAAGTAAAATTGAAATTCAATCGGGGATAGCCGCGGCAGGATGGACAGCATCAGCCGCTCCTGATTAAATTAAATTAATTAAGATTAAAATTAAAATTAAAATTAAAATTAAAATTAAAATTAAAATTAAAATAAAATTAAAATTAAAATTAAATCAGCCTCTCCTGGGGGAGGAATTCCAGAGGGTGGGAATAACAAAAAAAATTTTTTTAAAGGTTTCAGGGATATCCTTCCCCTCCCTGCCCCGGTGAGCGTCAAAAAAAACCCAAAAAAACCCCAAAAAACAACAAAAAAAAAAAACCAAACCAAAAAAAAACCAAAAACAAAGGTTGGGGAATGGATGGGGTTGAAGGTTTGTGGATCTCGCCCAAACCATTCCAGGATTTTGGGATCCAGGACACTCAGGATCCATCCCTGAGGGATTTTTATGGGATTGGGGGATGGAAAAGGGAAGGGAGACCCTTCCTGCAGTCCCCAGTTCCCAAAATTCCCAAAATTCCCAAAATTCCTTCCCGGAGAGGAGTCGGGATTGGGATGGATCCAATGGGAGAGCTGGGAATGGAGGGAATTCCCTGGGAAAGGGGGAAATGGGATTTGGGATTTGGGATTTGGGATTTGGGATTTGGGGTTTGGGATTTGGGATTTGGGGTTTGGGATTTGGGATTTGGGATTTGGGGTTTGGGATTTGGGAATTCCCGGCTGGGCTGGGCTGGAATTCCCAGAGGATCCCTGGGAGTGTCCCAGGAGCAGCAGGAGCACTCTGGGATTGGGGGATGAGCTCCTGAAATTCCGGGATCCCATTCCCAGTCCCGTCCTCAGCCGGCATCCTGATCCCACCTCCCACCACGATCCCAGAATTCCATTGGCAATTCCAGCCCCATTCCTGGTGCTATTCCCAACCCCAATCCCAATCCCAATCCCAATCCCAATCCCATTCCCAATCCCAATCCCAATCCCAATCCCAACCCCAATCCCAATCCCAATCCCAATCCCATTCCTCATCCAAATCCCAATCCCGATCCCATTCCCATTCCCAATCCCATTCCCAATCGCAATCCCAATCCCAACCCCAATCCCGATCCCAATCCCAATCCCAATCCAATCCCAATCCCATTGCTGGCCTTGTTCCCATTCCCAATATCATTCCTGCTCCCATTCCTGATCCCATTCCCCCACCTGATCTCAAATGCCCAAAATCCCAAAACAATCCCCAAACAATCCCGAAACGATCCCAAAACGATCCCAAATCCCCAAATCCCGAAATTCCCGTGACCTGCTGCTGGCTCTGCTCCTCCAGGTTGAGTTTAACTTCCACCCATTCCCATTCCCACTCCTGATCCCAAAATCCCCAAATCCCCAAACAATCCCAAAACGATCCCTAAACGATCCCAAAACAATCCCCAAACAATCCCAAAGCGATCCCAAATCCCGGAATTCCCAATCCCCGTTACCTGCTGCTGGCTCTGCTCCTCCAGGTTGAGTTTGACCTCGAGCGATTGCCGCTCCCATTCCCGCTCCTGATCCCCAAATCCCCAAATCCCCCAAATCCCCAAATCCCAAAACAATCCCAAAGCGATCCCAAATCCCGGAATTCCCGAAATCCCCGTTACCTGCTGCTGGCTCTGCTCCTCCAGGTTGAGTTTGACCTCGAGCGATTGCCGCTCCCATTCCCGCTCCTGATCCCAAAATCCCCAAATCCCCAAATCCCAAAACAATCCCAAAACAATCCCAAAACGATCCCAAATCCCGGAATTCCCGAAATCCCCGTGACCTGCTGCTGGCTCTGCTCCTCCAGGTTGAGTTTGACCTCGAGCGATTGCTGCTCCCATTCCTGCTCCCATTTCCATTCCCAATCCCAAAATCCCCAAATCCCCAAACAATCCCAAAAC